CCTACCTGCGCGGGTCGGAGAGTTTCCTAAGCTTAGTGGAGGTGGACTCTGACACTTGGGAGTACGACTAATAGTAAAGAGTAGGTCAACAACCTCAAGAATAGTAGAGTAGATTGATTGGACGAATAACCGTCCCATCTAACTCCTATAAATACACCATCACACTACTCAATTAAATACGAGAATCTATCTGAAGTTGATTTGTCTAGCTCGTACGTAGAGCTAACTTGAGCGTCAGAATGTTCTACCTATTTTTGCAGGTCTCTTGCTTCCAACTCACTCGCTAGCTCGCTAGAGTTCAACGCACCGTCTCTCCACAACACTTGGTAGATTTTGACATCAACACACAATCTAACAAGTTGAAAATGGTCCTGATAAAAAAAAGGTAGGACTACTCCCAATAATGGTCCCTAATATAAAAGGTAGGACCACCCTCATTTCTCACATGTTCTTTGTTTTACTTAAAATAAAATAGAGATCGTCAATAATGTGATAATTCTTATAACCTACGACTTAGTTTACACAAAGAAATTAGTTATATATACCGTAAATTGCTATACTTTTTTAGTATGATATATATTTAGTGTATATATGACATTAGAAATGTTTCAATTGCATATGTGGTTTAAAATTTTTTATTAGTACACTATCATTTACGCTGTATTGAGAGTTCTCAAGCAAAGATTATACTATTTCCAAAAGGTTTGAGATATATTAATTAATTAAAAGATGTCACTTTTTATTTCTACTGAGGAATATGAGTGGGAGAATTTTAATTTAAAAAAACATGTCGCTACTTATCAATAACTCCTAAATTATATTTAATTTAATTAAATCATAAAATGTCACACCACATGACCCGTTCTTTACTCGAGAAAAATCAAAATTTTCTCAGCTACTTCTCATAATATTACACAAAGGTAAAAGACTTCCTCTTTATTTTATAGCATTTACTACAGAATAATAAAATAAGTGAAAAATAAATAAAAAGAAGTTACATAAGCATTTAATTCATTTGAGGGAAAACCAACACCACTTTAAATTTGTTGCCAAAATTGGTTGTGGGGGTAGGCTGCATCATGTCCTTCCAAAATAGTGTTTATTCTTGATTTCTCCTTTATACATTAATTCTTCATTATTTTACCACTTATTTATTATTTATTGGGGTGGAAAGGAGAKAATGTATTAATTCTAATATAAATAATTAAAAATGATATTATAGTAAAAGAAAAAAAAATTCGTTTACAGAATGTGACTGGTAGCCTGTAATTAGTGCATGAAAATATATATATATATATATATATATATATATATATATATATATTTGATCTATTTTAGTGTAAATAGTAACATTGTGAGCAAAAAGAAGAAAATTTTTAAATGAGAAATAAATAAAGGGTAGCAATTAAGGAATATTGGTGAAAACTTTCCAAAGTGACCAAAGTGAGGGTTATAAAAATAAAAAATAATAATAATAAAAAAAGCAAATATACTATATTTTCTTCTCTTCTATGAGCAAAATAAGAAGCTTAGCTTCATGAGATTGCTGAGTCTTTAATTTAAATTCCTTTCTTCGTAGATTTTTTCTATTTATTCAATCTTGGATATAGCTTGCCAATAATTTGTTTGGTGTTGGACTTGCGATTATGGGTTAGAGGAAGACTCAAAACCACACGTAGATTTTCTAATTAATAATTCAATTAGAATAACAATTTTTATTAAGAAAAATATCTGGAGATATCAATGCATGTTTGCTCCAATAATCTATTAAAAAATTTTACAAGCTTTGCATTCAAAATATTAATATATTTTTGTTTAAAAGGTATTTTTGTACGGCCAAAGAAATATTTAGACTTTTGAAATTATTGAGGTATTTTTGAAACATGATACAAATTTGGGAGATATTTGTTGCAATTTAATTTTTTTTAACTAAAATGAATATTAAAATTTATGGTGTAGTCTTGGAACTTAAAAAGCCCCTTAAGAATTTTATAATTTTGGATAAGTGCAGGCCGCCCCATAGGGCCGGGTGTCAATCATAAGATTCATAACCCGCTCAATAATAACATAAAATTTCCGCCATATTCTAAAAGGAAGCAATTTTATTTTATTATAAAAAAAATCTAAATGTTCGACTTGACTCTACTAATTAAGCTATGTATCAAAAGTTACAGAGGTTCGAAACTGTACTTCCGGGTGGAATTTAGTGTGTTATCATCCCAAAAATTGAATTATAAATTATGTCTTTTTAGTTTAGAATATACTTATAGAAAATATTCCAATAAAAAAAGATAGAATTTTACATGATTTTATAGAATTTTTAGTTAACTTACTGATTTCACATTTTCATGCTTCATTCTTCCATTAATAAGTCGGATTAGAACGCAAAATCAAAATTAATGCTTTGTCTAACCTCTGAAAATGATATAATTTTAAATTCTAAGATTTTAAGAAATTGAAATGATTAATCCAATATACTTTAATAGATTTAAATTCGTGGAGATAGAATTTTTGGTTTTGGGAAAAGAAAAGAGTAAAAAAATGAGAGAGTGAGAGAGAGTTATTGGGAGGTAAATATAGATGGGTGAAATTTAAGAGAAAATTAATGTTAGAAAATAGTTGGAGGGGAAATGGGAGAGAGAGGGTTATTTGGAGGAAAATAGATGGTTTCCTTTCTATTTTGAAACAATAAACTAATTGTATCTCTTCTAGGTAGGAATGACAAAAATACCCGCTGGATCGATCCTGTAGGTATCCAATCAAATCGGGTTGGAAAATCCTCAATTTGATTGAGGACAAGTTTAAATCGAAGATCCTAATTAGGGTCCCCGATATGGACGCGGGGCGAGGAGGGGGAGGTCTCTCCGTCTCCATCCCCGCTCCAATTAATATTTTATTAGTTTTTATATTTTTATATACAATGACATTAATATATATTTATTTTTGTAAATACTTTTATAAGTTTTTAAAACATTGCGGTTGTATTTAATTAAATTTTACATCATTCCAAAAAATAAATGTTTGTATTTTTCAAAGAAATAGTTTATAAATTTTTTTTCAAAAAAAAAAAAATTTAAGCAAATATATTGGAGGGAACCCGTCCCTGCTCCGAAAATTTAGGGGTGGGGGAGCCATCCTGATTCCCGCCCTGTTGTCATCCCTACCTACAGGTTCACTGAATATCCACTCGATACTGTGAATTACCATAGAAGCAAAGTTGGGCAAAAATATTTTTAATGACATTATTGATTTTGCTGTAGCTAGCATCATATTCATAACCATGTACCACTGAAAGGATTTATGTAAAAATCATATAGATTTAAGAAATAGAAGATGACTGCATGATATACTTATCTTCGTTTTTCTGTTTTCAACATGAAATTGACTATATGCCTTTAATTTGTTGGTTTTTTNTGGCAAAAGTATGGGTTGGGTGATAAAGACTACGTGGCACGTGGGCTAATAAGAGTTAGCTCAACTTAAAGAGCTAGTTAGGCTACAGAGTTCACCTCGGCCATAAGTGGTAGTTCGACCATAAAGCTCACCTCGACCACGAATATAGCTCAGCCAACAAAGATGAGCTATATCATAAAGTCATTCAACCGTCTTTCCGACAACTCGTCGTGATTTGCGGGACGATTATAACCACTCCTCAACCGCTGACGGAAGCTCAACACCTATAAATAGAGTCGTCCGCCTAACATTTCAGGATACGCAAATACCATATTCTCTCTCGAATATAGCTCGGCGTCTTATTGACTTGGACATCCGAGCGTCCCACATTATATGAAATTCATTTGCCTTTTAAGGTTATGGTCAGAGAGAATAAAAGAGCTTTTGGATTGCCCAAAAGATTTTTAGGGAAAGTATAGTCTCTTGTTAGATTTAATGGGAGGAAGTCTGCTTGATGTCGGCTCCTCATTGGAGGAAATGGATATTAATGTTTCAAATGTATGACTATAAAGTTAAGGCATATATGGGAGGGAGTCTTTTGTTTTGCAAGTCCAATCAGTGATGAGGTGGCTTGGTATCGGCTTCTGGAGATGATATGCTTCTGCTTTTACTGATGCTTATGGATTACTTGCTGGATCGAATCCAAAAACGTCTCGATTAAACAAAAAGAAATATCTATAAAGAATTTATAAAGAAATTGCAAGCAAACTAACATAAATTTTAAAACAATAGATAAACTAAAAATGAAATGACAAATAAGGTCGGAGATTTAATTCTTTGTAAACCATAAAATAAAACAGTCAATCAAAAAACACCTTTCTCTTTGRCTCGTTGATTTAGTAAAGTAGAAATTATACTAAAATGTCATAAATAAATATTTAAAAAAATAATTACTCTTTTAGTACAATATACATAGAGGCAGAGATTCGAACTCACAGAATCTTCTTAGAAATATATGTAAATGACAGATATGCTAATTTTGACTAAATAAATTATTAATTTGTATTTATAAAAATATCACTATTTTTTTAAAATGTCACAAAAGTGATTTTTGACTGGCGTAGGATTATATAAAGTATGCTTTTATACCATTTTAAACTTAATGTTATATATATAAATGCATTAATTTTTTTGTAATTCCCTAATGTAACTCCTCCTGCAAAATCCAAACTCTACATTTCTAATGAAGTAATTGTTATAGTTTAAAAATAAATAAATAAAATAATTATTGATCTACACATCATTTAGACATATATCATTGATGTACTAAAAAAAAATATATATATGATCAATAGAAAATTCGAAACAGGTACCAATTATAGTTTTGCTAATGTGACCCTCTCTTTATCGATTAGTGAAGAGTGATATTTAATGCATTGAATTTGAATCTTATTATAATAGGAACACGAAGGGAACCTTTTAGAATAAGGGAGATACGTGGAATTCAATCTGTGGAGCGAACTTTTTATCTAATTAAAAATGCTTTTACTCTCGCTTCTTTTTGGGCGATGGAATTGGTGAGAGAATCTGCGTACGAACTGGTAATGCTACTTCGTTATCTTCACTTTTCAATCACTCTCAACCAAATTTGTTTGCATAATTAGAGCCAATGATCCGCCAGTTATCAAAATTGTTCAGTTTCGAGCCCGATTTCTTCGCATTAATCTCTCCTCTTCAATCCGTTTCGGAGAATTTCTTTGCAGCTGAATCTTTGTTTTTCCTGTTGCGAGATGCTTCGTCGTTCATTTCCGGAACTAGTTTGATAGTTTTCTTTTCATTTAGCTGTTGTATATTATAATGATTCCGTTGCCAAGGCCTGAGATGAGATCCATTTTGAAGGAGGATTTTCCTTTTTCTTTTTTCTTTTATTTTCTCTGTGGTAGCTTGGCTGAATTGAAGAAATCTGGTTTATGAATCGCACTGAGATCGAAGCGGAGAATGAGTACTTTTTCAGTGGATTTCAGGAGGCCTGAATCAGGTGTGAATTATGCGAGTTGATAAATCACCGCCGGTCTTTCTCAGTGAAGCGTGTGCTAAGAAAGTAGATTTGTTTGTGTATTCCAGAGGTCTCAATGATTTAAACTTCCTTGTGCAGCTAAAAGTAGATTAAAAGATTTATTGCTTCAAAAAGATAATCAACTTTGTGCAGATTGTGGAGCCCCAGATCCTAAATGGGCGTAAGTTATTAGAGGATCTAATCGTTTTCTTTCATTAGTGAATTTGCTTCTATGGATTTATTTTCAATCTCTATGAACGTCTCGAGAAGTATGATTTGTATGACTCAATGCTTTTGCAGCTCTGCAAATATTGGTGTATTTATATGCTTAAAATGTAGTGGTGTACACAGAAGCCTTGGAACACACATATCAAAGGTAATACTCACCTTTCTGAAGACAAAGACTCAGTTAGCATTTCTTTTTTCTTTACATACGTCTGAAACAAATATTATAACTAGTTTAAAGCTTTCCATGTTATATCATCAGAAGCGCTTTACCAATGTAGCTGGCTCTGAGGTATTCTTATCTATTTGTGAATTATGCTAAAAAATCTCATTGTAACTTGTAAGAGTATAACTTGATCTGATTGACTAAAGGGAAAAGCAATTGACACTGCAGATTCTTGCAGCCTATAGATTAATAGGCATCTGGTCTGGCACAACATTTTATATACAATTGGATTGGTTGCATTTCCAGAAATTTGCCTTCAATAGTCAATGCTGCTCTTATTTGAATATTTTTAAAGAAATGGAAAATTAGAGGGCTTTACTTCCTATCTCGAGTCAGGAAATTTTGCTTGAATTTAGAACTTCTCCCTCGCTTATGTTTTAAACTCCTTATTTTTTGTTTCTGCCTTGTGATGATTCTAGAAAATTTGAAGTTCTGATGACAATATTGGTTTTGATTCAGGTTTTGTCAGTAACATTGGATGAATGGTCTGAGGATGAGGTTGATGCAATGATTGAGGTTGGAGGAAATGCTTATGCTAATTCAATATATGAGGCTTTTATCCCTGATGGATATACAAAGCCTGGACCAAGTTCCAGCCATGAAGAGCGTTTAAAGTTTATTCGGTAAGACATTGACTCACAATGATTTAGCCTGGAATTTGTTGCTTTACATCCGTCCTAAGGTAGTTTTCGCATTTATATTATCGGTCACCAAAGAGCTTTTTCGTGTTTGTGTTAGCAGAATCCATAACTAGAAATTTGTCTGTTGTTTCTATGGCCATTTCAACCAGAATTTAGAACCTACCATGTAATTTTGCTCCTCTTTTACATTTGTGCTCATTTAAAATGCCATTGTCTTGCACTTAAGTGATTGATTTATTTTGATAACGAAATATGGGTTGTGAATTGGTGACGAAAACATAGTCAGTAGCCATGCCCGTGCTCAGTTTTTAATGCAGTAGCTTAAATAAAGTAATCTTTCATGTAGGCCTAAGTATGAACTTCAGGAATTTTTAAAACCTAGCTTGCGAATTGTTTCAAATAACTCCACAAAGAGCTCTGAGGAGCCAAGTTATTTTCAAGAGATTGCTGATAGCTTTCGGAGCTCGAATTCTTCAAAGAATATTGTAAGTTCTATTATGTCTTCACCCTTTGCTTCCGATGCATTTTGTACCCACATGATAGGATGTAAATTTTCAAACTGTTTCAAACTTAGCATAGTGATCAGATCTGTTCGTAAATATACTCCATGTTTGCTGCAAATCATTCTGCTTCAAACTTAGCGTAGTGATCAGTWGTAGGGATCTCTTGGATGAGGTCAGCAGCTAGCTATGATTTTAATCTGATTAACTCTTTAACTTTTTTTTCTTTTTTTGAGATTAGTCACAAGAAGGCATGGTTGAATTTATGGGAGTACTGAAGGTCACTGTGATTAAAGGCACAAACTTAGCCGTGAGAGATGTGAAGTCCAGTGATCCTTTCATTGCCTTGACTATTGGACAACAGGTTAGTAGTAGCTCCAATCTTTTATAAGGTGCATGCTTGTATATTTTCTTAACTGGCTAAGAATGCTGCGAAGGTAGCGTTCTGAGTTTTGCTACAACAGCCCTGTTAATGTGTCTAAAGACCGTAGGTCGGTTTTTGCTAAAATATTAAGCTGCTTGTTATTGAAACTGATGGTGACAATTGGCTTTATTGCTGATAGACGGCTAGAACAACAGTGATAAAGAGCAACTTGAATCCAGTTTGGAACGAGGAACTCATGCTGTCGGTTCCTCGTGAATATGGGCCCTTAAGGCTGGTGAGTTTCCAATTGTTACTGGTAGTTTCACAGGATTGAGTTTCAGAGCTCACCTTTTTGTAATATTTTAGATATAGAAAGAAAAATTCCTAGTTTTCACTTTTCAAATGTGTTATTCATTTGATTCAAACTACAGTACTGCTTGGTGATTTGATTCTTTCACTTAATCCTACATTGCAGCAAGTGTTCGATCACGATGTTATTTTGGCTAACGACTCAATGGGTGAAGCAGAAATCGACCTCCAGCCATTGATAACATCAGCAACAGCATTTGGAGAGGCTGAAATGTTTGAGAATATGCAGATAGGAAAGTGGCTGAAGTCGGACGATAACGCCCTCATCGACAACAGTGCTGTCAACATCATCGACGGGAAGGTGATACAAGAGGTGTCACTCAAGCTCCAAAACGTAGAAACAGGTGAAGTGTACTTGGAACTAGAATGGATACCTCTTGATCAGTAGTCAGTCACATATATTATTGTCACAAGAGTGTGGTTTTCATTTTATTATTGCTTATGGAATACCTCATTCTGTTCAATTGGCATAAACTTCATACACCCTTTTGTGTGTGTTTGTTTGCATGTATGAGCAAACTAGGAAGCATTTTTGTGTGTGTTTGTTTGATATACAAATAAATATACTCACATGCATTCGAACTTTCTGCATCGAGATATCGTTAGACTCGGAAATATTTTGAGTTAATTTCACTTAATTTTTTGCTTTTTTTAAGTTTTCTTATTTGATAGAAAACAATATTTCATTGATGATATGGAATCTTACTAAAAATAAAAATAAAGTTTAGGCAAGAGGGATGTATTTAATATTAGAAATTGAGAGTAAATTAAACTCTTCCATACTTTATTCAATAACAAGTGGACTATATATATAGGACCACCAAAAGTACAGATGTAACACATAAATAATATAATAAACTAACTATTAACAAGTCTAATATTTAACTTTTCAATCACCCAATTAAGAAGGTATCACTTTTATGAAAGAGAAGTATAAGATGGAGCTCACAAGAAATGGTAAAAATGGAGATGTTGGTTTCTTTTATGAATAGCAATGAGATTGAGGCTACAAATAAAGTTTCATTTTTATTTTATTAGACCTTACAGGTCCATTTAATAACGTTTCCATTTCTTGTTTTTGTTTCTTCATTTTTAATAAAGAAAAATATAATTATATAGTCTCAACACTCATGATTCGAAGGTAAGGTCTTATATTTTTTATCCCAACTTCATTTTGTTAATTATGGTCTAAATATATCAAATAGTTAAAAGAAAAATTTATATATTCTTGCTCCTACTGAAATTACACAGTTTCTTGTCAAATTAGAAAATGAATAATACTTCTAGATTGTTATTTTAATTAGATTTTTTTTCTTTTTATTTGAAGATAAGATATTAGTTGAGATGATATTCAAATTCTAAATATTCACGTATTTTATGATAGTCTATTCTAAATCAAATATATTATTAGAAATACAATCTAATTTTAACTATTTTATTAATTAATTTATTAATTGCTTATGTTAACCACTATTAAATTTTTGACAAATGCATAAGGGGGTTTATTTTTTCATGACCTTCTGGTAAGGAAAAATTATTTTTTAAAAGAATAAAAGTCGTCAAATTTTTATTGTTAGTGAGTAGGAAGAAAGTGTTAAACAATATTGTTATTCAAAAGTAGTTATATATTCATTTTGACATACATGGACATCCTTTTTATAATCATTCTAATTTTTTTAAAACCCATTTATTCTCAATTTTCCTAATTTATAATGCTTTTAGTTTTTTCATTTAAAAAAAACTTACTAATTATGGATCTATAAGAAAAAAAATTCAATTCATTTCTATGAATAAAAAATTATTTTATAAACAAATGAAAACAAAATAAAATAAAATAAGCTGCCAGTTAACAAATCTACAAGGGATCTAAACGAATTTATTCAAAGCTTAATTTACTGCACCCAAAAACCAATAATAGTTAACAAAAATATATATATGTTAATAATTTCAGATATTTTTGGTTTTCAATTTCCATTTTGAAATATATAAATATTTTTAAACTCCTTAATATTTATCTAATTTTTCAGATATAAAAAAAAAAAGAACAAAACAAAAAACAAAAAAATTGACTTGGGAATTGAGAAGGAGAGACCAATCCGTGCGTCCCTTGTCTCCACCTACCTCAATTTCCTAAAACTGAAGAATATGATATGATAGAGATGAGAGAGAGAGAGAGAGAGAGATGGAGACTGTTTCCTCGCCCTATTTGTCTTACTTTTTGTAAATCATCATTCAATCCACTTGCTAATGCTTTCTAATGTAATTTCTACCGAATTGGATATCAACAACAAATCAAAATAATCAAATATTCATGAAATCCAAAACGAAACCTAGCTACTTGCACATTGCTCCGTGTATGTGAATCTGAAATTGGAAATAATGTAATAGAATGTGAAGATCGATCTAAAATTACACTAACACAGGAAGTGGAACTGAATTCAAACATATCAGAGAGGAATCTGTTACAAAAATAAGATCAGTGACCAGATCTTGGCGCTATGTACATGCAATTTCGCCTAAATTACTTGTTGATAACAATGTTAGTAGAATCAGAGAGTGAGAGCGAGGACGGCGATGATCTGTGCTTCTTGAATTTAAAGATGTAGATAAAAGCAGAGGCAATCAGCAAAGAAACGCCTACAATTCCACATACCAGGCTCGCCACAAGCAATGCGCCGCGAATGTGATCTCCTCTTCCGGCGGCGGCTCCAGTGCGGTCGCCGTGGTGATGGCTCCGAGTCCACCACTCCGGCGGCACGCTGGTATTCATCGCCTTCGGAAGCGCGACCTCGGAGGAGGACCAGGAGTTTCCTCGGAAGAACGACTTCATATCCG